AGTCATAATGCTTTTTCCAATAAATCACTATTTTGGGTATCCTGGTGTGGCCCTGCATTATCTGTGAGAGACAGGAGCTGATTAAATAATCTCCTTCATTTGTTCCAGCCATTGAGAGGCTTTAAGTGATGTATTTGTGTTAATGTAGAAACAAGGGGCCCACTTAGCTGAGGAAAATTATGTGTTCCTGTGGTTGGGGTTCACAGGCAGTGAACACATTAATGTTCAGATAAATACTGGTGACTGATTTTCAACATGATCTATGATCCAGAAATGTTTGACATTTTGTCCTATTGAAGTCCATCTAGCTTGGTGCCCTGTCCCTTTGATGGACAGTAGTGGACACCTGAGACAAGATTACAGGAACAGTGCAACTGTGGTCTCAGACCTCCTCTAAATATTTCCCTATCTCTAGTACAATGTGGCCCAGGGATTTTTGTTACTGTGCTTGGTGGACCCAGGTAGATTTTTATCTCATGCATTTGTCAGGTTGCTTTCTAGAAATAATGTAAAGTTAGTATCCATGGCAACCTTTTGTCCTTGTTTATGGAAAGATAGAAACATCTTTGAGGGTTTCCAGCAGGCTGTCTCTGCTCCTTAGGCAGCTTTTTGATATGCCTCTGTCACTGGAAGTGAATGTTTTTTTGGACAGCCAGAGTCGTTGTTGACATTGGAGGATTTCCAGCCACCTCTTTGTGCTGGGGCCAGAAGTCAGAGGTGCATTCTGGATTTTGAACCAAGGCCAGCATGGCCACAGACACTGTTACATGCAATTGACTCCTGAATTGATGTTAAAACAAAGAAATTTTTCTCCATCCCCTGCAGTATCTCTGAGAGATTAGAGTGCAGCAGATTGCCTAGACACCTCCTTGCTTCTCTTCTGTGCCTGTGCAAGGTCTTTTTCTTTCTCCAGTGAATGATGGAATTGAGATATTTTGGTGCTTTTCAGTTGTTTGGCAGGGCACCATGACATTGCCTCTTGTGTGTTGGTTTAAGAAGACAGTGTTGGGAAACTGAAAGGTGAATATTTCTCCGTGCTGAGGCCCCTCAGCGCTGCTGGAGGTCGCCTTGCTGGGTTGTTTGGACGTGGTGGGTTTGTGCACCACCTGCATTGCTGGTCGAGGCTCCTTTCCCAGTGCCTCCCTTGTCAGGGCCGTGGAACAGCCCCACAGTGGCCTGTGCCGCCTGCTGGGCTGGCAGGCTCAGCAGGCAAGTGGGAATTATCTCTGCCTCCCAGAGACAGGAGTGCCCTTGCTGCTTATTAGCAGCAGCTGGGTAGGTCCCTCTCTGTGCTAGGCGAAGCAGTGGTATGGTGGTGATAGGACTGGCCAATGGATAGAGCTGCGTTTAAACAGAACCAAATTTTAAAACATAATTTGTCTGGGAATTATACACGTGCCATGTAGGTTTAGCTGTGCTGGATATACCTTCCTAAGCTACTCCACTTGTGAGTAAGGAATTTTCCTGCTGATAGTAACTGTAGCAAACCCTATATATTTATATATATATATATATATGTAGGTGCATATGGGTATAAATGTATGTATATGTAGTGTGCATGTAGACCAGCTACTTTGATCTATTGTTTGGCTTCTGTAGTCACTGAATAACTCACTAGAGCAAATGAAGCCACAGGGGTGAATATTTGCAGACTCAAGTTTTAAGACTGCTAGAATGAGAACTTTGTTACCTTCAGAAAAGAATAATTTACTGTGTAGACACATGCCTTAATATATCTAACACTGCATTAAGAAGGTGACAGCCTTTGTAAAAGAGCTAATTGGTTAAGTTGTCCATATACATCTTGCCAGACTTATAATACTCCAGTCACTTTGAGGGGATGGGTGATCTATGGTGAATGAGGAAGTAACATTATTATTTCCCCATTTTCATCAATCCCCATGGCAAAGAGTGTGTGAGCAGCTATTGTGCTTATGGTCACCAATTTTCGGTTTTGCAATGCTGCCCCAAGGCGATGGGTCAGAGGAGGAAGATTGTGGCTCCTAGCTCACGTCGTCCCTCCCTATTTAATTACAATAATACTTCTTTTAGAATAGCACTCTGAGCAGCAGCTCTCTTTCTTCTGTGACAGCATTTCAGCCACCCTGAGCTAAAAAAGAAATGCATCTCTTTTAACAGGACCATAAGTAGCTTTGGATGTATAACGCCTCTATAAAACTGCTTGGCAACATGATTTATTAGAGCGGGATCAGTGGTAAAAGTGACTTCTCTGACAGTAATGGATGAAACACTTCCAGCATAGCTACTCTGTCTCTGCTTGGTGCCTATGCCAACAGCAGGCTGGTTTTGTCAGCTCATTCATAATCTCTGCTTTGCTCTCAGCAGAATCGGTTGCACAAGACAAGTTTCAGCCATGGCAGATGCTTTTTTTCTAGTCCTCTGTGGGAGTTGCTGCAGAAGATGGGTCAGTGCAAATGCTGCTTCATTCCTGAGACTCTGTCTGCTTAATTCTACATCCAGACCCTATACCTTGGTGGGAGTTGGGTGCATGCCATTCCCATACCCCTCACTGCTGCCCACCCCCAGGAAGAGAAATTTGAGTAACTGGGGTGAAAGGAGCTGCACTGTTCTTAGACTTAAGTGTGAAGTCTGACTGATCAGTGGCCCAAGGTCCCAAGAAGTCTCAGAAGTATCTCCTGTGCAGTCCCTATGAGAAGACTGGGTTGAGAAGCCTGAATCTAAAGTGTAGATTTTCAAAGTGCCAGTGGAAGTGAAAGATCCCAGAAACCACATCCTGCAATATACCACGTGCTGCAGCACCCTGATCTGCATTGTGACTTGAATTACCTTAGATGTGCAATGTGACCCTGGCAGTGGGACCCAGCTCTGGGACTCCTTGTGGTGGGGCAGCAGAGCCCAGCCTGTGCCATGTGGGCAATGGCACCACCCACCCTGCCCATGCCTGGGCTTGGAAATTAGTTGGGTTCTGAGAGATGCTTGTGTTTGGGACGTGTCTTCTGCAGCACATGAAAGCAGAGAAGGATTGCTATGGCAACTGTTCTTGAGTATTTTTTCCAGTGTTTTCCAATCTTATTCATTTTTTTCTTATATCCCTAGTGTTTAATTTAAGGCCTTTCCTAATTGGAGTCCAAAAAAACCAATTGAAGTGAATTCTCTGATTAGACAAAAAGTTCAGACACCTTCCCACACAACTTGTGAAGTACAAGATCGACAGAATTGAATGTTGCTGTGAGTAAGAGGAGATCTGAAATTTGAAATGCATTGTACCCAGACAAATGAAATAAATGAAGCCTTTTACTTAAAGCAAACATTGAAATAAAAGATAGTGTACAGCATGAAAATTTTGGGCACTCCCTTGCTGGTAGATCTTTCTAGGCTATTTAAACACTGATTATAATCCTTCTCAGTCTTCTTTATGACTCAGCTTTGTGAAGGAACTTCTTTCAAAATCAACATGTGCTGGCTCATTGAATTATCTTTCATGAACTGAAGTATTATTTAGTCTGGGTACTTTGAAGGGAATGGTTACTGCAGTGGTGTTTCTTTGGGGTAATTACCCCAGATGATTGCCTCTCCGTTTCCGGTACCTTGCTTCCACTTTGTGTCTGTTTTGGCTGGAATACAGTTAATTTTCTTCATAGTAGCTGGTGTGGGGCTGTGCTTTGGATTTGTGCTGAAAACAGTGTTTATATTACAAGATGTTTTTGCTATTGCTGAGCAGTACTTACACAGAGCCAAGGCCTCTTCTTTTTCTTGTTGCAAGTAGGCTAGGAGTGCACAAGGATCTGGGAGGGGTGAGAGCTGGGACAACTAACCCCAGCTGATATTCCATTCCATATGGGGCCACACAGCATATAAAGTGAGGAGAAGAAGGCAGGGGGGATGTTCAGAGTGGTGTCATTTTTCTTGCCGAGGAACTGTTCCATGCGATGGGGCCCTGGTGTCCTGGTGTCCTGAAACTCCTACTTGCCCATGGCAAGTGGTGAACTAATTCTTTGGTTTGCTTTATTTGCATACAAGGCTTTTGCTTTACCTATTAAACTGTCTCTATCTCAACCCACGAGTTTTCTCACTTTTGTTCTTCTGCTTCTGTTGCCGATCCCTCAAGGGTGGGCGAATCAGCGAGCAGCCGTGCGGTGCTTCACTGCTGGCTGGGGTTAAACCATGAGGCACCTGCACGCCGATCCCTGTGTGTGGGAAACCCAGGCTGGAGGGGAAGAAGAAATCCTGTGGAGGTGTAGGAAGGAGAAGGTTGGTGCCTTGGCTGTGCTGCCTGAGGGGAGGGCGGTGTGAGGGTGGGTTGGTTGAACGCAGTGTCTCTGGTGCCCCGTGCCTCCTGCACCAGCCCTTTGCCTTGCTGGCAGGGAGACTGACAAGTCCCCAGAGATTCCTCCCAGCTTCTCCAGCCCTGCCTTGAGACAAACTACATCTCCTCCCTACAGCAGCACCTAGGGAGCAAAGATGTCCCTGGAAATTCCCTGCCCGACTCCCCTCCTGCTGTGTTACCATCTGCTTTGCACAAGATTTGGGTGTATGCCTTTGTGGAAAGCAATGCTTTTCCTCTGAGGACATCTTTGGCACTCCTTCCCTGGAGGGGCAAAATCCTGAGGCACAAAGTGCAGCTGAGACTGTTCTGAGCATTCCTCCCTGTCCCAAGGCAGGGAGGGAAACAGAAATGACAATTTTATTACATACTGCGTCTTGGGAACCTGGTCTAAAACACCTTCCAGTTGGAAACCTGCCCAGCTGATTTCAAAATGATAAAAGCAGTCCTGCAGGTTTTGATCCAAATGGGGTAACAGGTCCTGGAGCAAATAGAGGTGGGAAAAATGGGTGCAGTTTCAAGCACACAGGGTGCCCAGGTGTGGTTTTGCTCCTCGCAGGTGTATTTATTAATCTGCCCATGTGTTGACCCCTGTGTAGCTTCATGCCACACCTCTCCCATCTCACTGGGCATGGCAGTGGCACTGCTCACACGTGGGGTAGGCAGTGCCCTCTTCCCCACTTGGCCTCTCAGGGGCAGGTGTGGTTTTTATCAGCTTCTGAATAACTGCACAGGACACCTCTCTGAATCCAGGAATAAAGGCCAGATCTTGAGCCAGGGGAGTCATTTGGCTGGAGACAGCACTCCACAGAGCTGGTTTGTTCACAGGCAACAGGAGATCATCTATTTTTCATCATGATGATGCTATTTCTGAATAAGAGAGAAAAATGCAGGCTTATTTCTGAAGCATATGATTTATTTTTTGGCCTTTAAAATTTTGTTTATTTTGAATGGAAGCCCAGAATGCACATAATGTAGCAAAAAAACTGCAGATACAGACAGGGATTTTTGTTTCACCTTTCAAGTTACTCCCACTCCTGGTGCTAGGGCAGTAACATTTGAAAAGGCTTTGGATGTTTTCCCTTTCCTTGAAAAGAAACAAATGAAAATAATGATCCTGAAGCAATACTGAAGACACCTGCTTCCAGATAATTCTGCTAAAAGCAGCAAGGTACAACCAAGCACCCCTGGGAGATGAAGAAAATATCCTGAGAACTGCCACCCTCACAGTTTCCCTGGGACTGCAGTTCCTGTGCTCCTGGAGATGTAGCAAGGGGATGAATACGAGCTCCCCAGACAGTCCTGATGTGAAGGTAAGCACAATTGTTTTCTGAAATGTTTGATCCCATAATCCACAAATTCGTTTATCATAAATAGTGTTTTAAATTGTTGTGGCAAACTCTTCTGGACTGATTCCAGCTCCTGAATTATGAGAAGCTAAAAATGGTGTCTATTCCCATGGTTATAGACAGAGAGATGCTACTCAGCAACAAATGCACCACCAAGTGCCTTAAAAATAGCCCCTGTGGAATTATTCAGTGTTTGGGACTTGTCATTTCATAGGGGTAAAAATGGATTCATTTTGGCACAAAATATGCATAATATGTATCCACAGCTTTATAAATAGCATTTATAAAATTATGTGTATAATTTTATATTAAATCGATGCTGAGCAAAGAGACAAAACAATCAACAGGAACTTAACACAAGTTTTGTTCTTAGGTAATTGTGTTTTTCTTAAAAATGCAGGTGTCAACAGAGACCTTCCTCCCTTCACCCCTACATTCTTCCTTTCTTTAAGACAGCTTTAGGGAAAAAACTTGAAATTGCTGCCATTATGAAAAATGTAATAGCTATAAACCAAAGAAGAAGCTTGGCCCAAAGTTGTCACCCCACATAAATTAATTCCATGGCTTTAGCTATTCTGGTTTTCAAAATGTAGGCCTTCATATCTCTTGGGGTTCCAGGTTTTGCAAGTGGAGTCACAAATATGGTACAAATTCAGTTGATGAGATGGTGCTCTGAGAAATAACTGGGTCAACAGCTGGAACATAACTTGAATTGACTCTTAGAGGAGCATTTGGGGACCATGCTCTTGGTCTTCCTCTCTTGTTATTCTGCTTCCTTTCAACTCACTTGCCCTTGCAGTACTCAGGCAGGGCTGATGCATTGGACCTGGTGGGTGGGGAGGATACGGCTTTGTTGGAGGGTCCTGGTCATCTTTCCTTTTCCAATTTCAGGCTCTGCTGAAAGGGAGCAAGTACAAATATGAAGGCTTTGTTGCTGCCCTGCTCCAGGCTTTCCTGCCCATTCTCTCCTCTGGAGAGCCTAGCTGCAGGCTGAATGTCCTTGCCTCTAAAGGTGCTCAGTAACAATCTGTAGCAGCCTAAGCCCTAGGAAAGAGTGAAAGGTAGGGCAGGTAAACCAATATCCTGGGAAAACATTTTGCAAAATTGGAGCAATAATACAGAAGAACAAAATGTGAGGCCTTATAGGCATGGACAACAATTTTGTTAGGGAACGGAGTGGTTTCGTTCACTCACACTTGCACACCTGTAGTCAGTGGATGCCAGCAACCAAGTGGTGGCTCACTCTGGGTCAGATTGCCACTGACAGTCCTAAGTGGACACTGACCCCCAGAGGAGTGACCCATGGGCTGCCAGGAAGGGCAGGATGGAGGGCTGGGCCTGTGAGCAGGAGGATGTCACCCCATACAACATCGTGCCTCCGAGCTGTGTTTGGGAAGTCTCAGCATGTAACGTATGAGCAGACTTGGCTGTCCTGTCCTGATCGGGGAGATGAGATAGATTAAAAAAGGGATTTGACAATTGAGAGAAAAGAATAAAACAGGCTTCCCAGAACAGTGCAATGGCACAAGGCAGCAACTTCACCTGAAAGAGATCCTTCAAATTGTAATGCTTTTCCTTAGAAATTGGCATTTTAAAAGCCTTTTAAATGAAGTGCTTAATTTTTTATTTGAAAAAACTCTTAGAATAGTATACTTTTAATAAAGGGGTTTTTTATATGATTTCACAAAAGTCAGTAATATTTTCTGCTTAAAACTACATCCCTCTTACCATTTTACTGAAATTATTAAATGGTTTCTAGGGCAACTTACCAATAGCATTAGAGTTCACTTTACTGTTTCTTGAGGGGTCATGGAGGTCTTCATCAGAGAAATCAAGGGATAGACAAAAATGTCAGAACTGTGCTTTGATGTTTTCCCACCTCTTGCTGAAGCAAAAAAAATTTGCCTGTTAATGTGATAAAAATGAGTGAGGCTAGCTGGAGATTTATGCCCTCCTGGAGACATAGTGTGTCAGTTCTCCTCCAAGTTCTCTCATGCTATTTCCATGGCAACTCCATATAATGATAACTCCCACAGATTTTCTCCTTTTATCTGCTATTTTGGTCTCAGATAGTGATGGAGTTGAGGCATATATTTCTTTCACACCATTTGATGCCCATCGACAACCAAAGTAAATAATGTCCTCATTCTTCAGGTCTTTAGAAAGCACAGTTAGTTCACAGCCCTTTCAGGAATTCACCTGCAGAGCTGGATGGAGCCGAGACAGGAAAAGCGGTGCTACAGATGCTCAGAGGAAGCTGCAAAGGATGAATGCTCACTGTCAGCACAACGTGACAGGATTACATTCCACTCCTGCTTTTCTCGTCCCCTTCTTGGCCAGGGTAACAGATGGACACTAGGGAGTAGGCCACGGTGTAATGGGAGGATGGATGGTTTGGGTGCAGGGAGCTGCATCTCAGCTGTTCTGCCCAGGGAGACAGGAGGTCATTCTGCCTGACTGGGAGATGCTCCCATTCCCCCTGATGTCAGCTCATGATTGCAAATCTGGTCCAGCTCATGAGACAAGGATCAGGAGTTTCAGCCAGGCATAGCTGCAGCCAGAAAAGCCCTTGACCCAGTGCCACTAACCCATGACTTCCTCCCTCTTATGAAATCTCTGCAGCAAGATGCTGCTGGCTGATATTACACAGCAGAAGTGGCAGGCATACAGCTTGTTCTAGGAAACTGCACTTGCTTCATCTAACTAGTAGGGCAGGATAGGCCAAATATCAGTGCTGGAGTGGAGGGTCAACAGAGATCCTAGAGGCCAGCTGCCAGTGTGGGCTGAACTGAACTTCTGTGCTTGGTTTGCAATTGAATGCCAGGGACAACAGGACAGTCTGAATGTGAAGACCTATACCAAACATCCTCTTACTCTGTGCCCTGAGAGCATCCAGATATTTTGACCCTCCTCATTTCTTCCTACAGAGGCTTCCGTTTAAGCAGATGAGCAGTGCTAGGTGAAAGGACATCCTCCTCCAGGAAAGGATCTTAAACCTTATACTTGATAGTAGTATCCCCTCTGAGTAAGGCTGCTGCTCAGAAGAGCTTTCCTGCCTGTTTGGTCCCCTCTGCCCTGTAAACCAGAAGTTGGTGGGAGCATTTCTCCATTATAGGGAGAGGAAGGAGGCACAGTATCATAGAGTGATATAGCTTGGAAAAGACCTCTGAGATCATCAAGTCCAACCTTCATTTGAATGCCACCATACCCACTAAGCCATATAATTAAATTCCATCTCTACTTGTTTTTAACACTTCCAGGCATGGTGACTCCACCACTTCCTGTAGTTTGAGTCCCTGCCTGGAAGCAGCCTGGGTTTGATTCTCTTTTCTGAGTGACACAGAGAAATTCACCTGGGCGTGTGGGTGAGCAATCAGCTAGGTATGGTAAAAATTTCACCTTCTGCCCTGAATGTAGGAATCATCATTTCCCTATCATTCTAGCATGATGGAAAGATAAACATGGGGAAGACCTTTTGAAGGACTCTTAGCAACTCAAAAGACATATAAAAAACAAGACAGCAGAATTTCTGAATAGCAGATCTAAGGTCACCTATGCAAATTGGTGACCAGCACCTTGTCCAAGTGTATTGTGATGATTACATCAAACACAAGTAATTCTCTGTTCCCCAGGGGAAGACTGAGGTTGAGACAGTGCAATTAAACTCAGTAACAGATCTCTGTTAAAAGGGAGACATGTTTTTAAAATCCTTATATTTCCAAGTTCATGTCTTTTTTTATTTTTTAGGATTATGCTGACACATATAGCCATAAAAATGATTCCTCATGTACTTAGACTCATAAGTGTCTCTAAGGTGAGAGCTAAAGGCAAATAAACTTTTCCCTTTGATTGTACCTGTAAGAATTTAACTTTATTCCCCCAATGTTCTCACTTCAAATGTACCATTATGCTTCTATTAATTTCAGTATGAGCATTGTGTGCACAGTTGGAGGCAGAGCATGCTCCAAAAGCTGACTGCATTTGAAGAGTGCACTGTGAAAGAGAAATGAGGCAAAACACTAGCAAGAGTTTCATCTCTGGGATCCTGTAAAGGAGCATGCAGTTTCTTTCAGCATTTCCTCATTCATTCCATAAAATTGATTCCACTTTAAGAGAGTATTGCCAGACGATAAAGACAAATTATATTAAAAGAAAAAGAAAAAAATCCTAATTAAACTTGCAGAGAGAGGACTTTGCCCTCCTCCCACCCCACTTGTCCGAGGATTTGGAAAAAAGCTCTTGTAGGCAGAACCAGGGCTAGACATCCCGGTAAATCTGGATTTAGAACTACGGTCTGATGTCGGATGAAAAATGTGATCACCACCAAGAAACGAGCGACTGATCTGGTGTGAACTCGCCTGAAGGCTTTGAATAGGTTAAAAGTGGTCCATGGGGTATGTTGGTGGCCCTGGGCGGCTCGGCGGCACGGAGCCGTGTGCCCGCGGTGGATGCAGATACCGCAGTGCCCCCGCCTGGCTGCTGAGGATCCCATGTCAGGTGAAACGCGGCTCCAGATTTCGTGTCCTCGCACGGACAGGCTTTTGCTCGGCTTTCAGAGAGTTCCCTAAAGCACAGCGGGCAGTAGAGCCGATGTCCTCCTAGGACAGGAGCAGGGTAGCAGAGAGGGGGACAGTGGCACTGCAATGCTGCAAAAACTGAGTAGACAGTTCTCAGGTCATTTGAAGCAGTGGTACTACTGTCCCACAGTTCTTCCATCAGCCTCTGCTCTGAAGAATTGAGCATGCCTTGGCTCAGCACACACGTCCTTGCATCAGTGAATCTATCTGCTTGGGAGCTGACTTGTGCTTAAGAACTGGGCATTTAATCTTGGCCCTGTAGATGTCTCATCTCACACAAATAATTTGCTGATTTTGACCCAAAAATCTGCATGTAACAAAGGAGAACCACAACACAGTCTCTGTACCTAGTAGTGATGGTGGTGATGGGTGAGGAGGAGAAAGGAC